CTATCAGCAGGTGCATAATATCGATGCTATTGTACTATCATTTTGTTAATGGGTTCTGGGCCGTGCAGTCGCCTTTGGTGGTCATGATGAAGAGTTCAGTTACGGCCGAAACCCCAGATGAATCAATCCAGGTTATTGATGCAAGCATCTCTTGTGGTTGTTTTCACTACCTACCAGTCTTTCATCAAACAAAATGCAATCTACACATGAAATCGATTAAAATTACCAAAATTAGCAAAAACAGCCTAAAAAAAGAAGACCACAGGTATACCATCACTTACACCAATGTGAGGAATCGATTTCAACTTTCCAGAAGGGGAATTCAATTTTGAGTTCAAACCCGACCTCCTGTTTCTGTCTGAAACCGGTATAAATGCCTCAGTCCCACTACAGGAGCTTTCAATCTCGAGTTACTCAACCTTAATAGCCAAAACCGATGAAGACGGCAGATACCCCATCGTCTAGAAACTAACCCAGATCATCGAAGAACCGACCCGCATCCCTGACGCGACGGGACACCAGGCGAACCTTCTCGACATTTTCCTCATATCTTGGCCTGATACATCAGACCATTCACTAGTCAGTGTCCAAATTGATGCCAAAGGTATACCATGATTTGCGGTTCCATAGAACGATTATTCGCTATTCGAAGGCAGACTGGCAGAGCTTTCCTGCTTATATGGCGGAAGCTTATCTGTCAACCTTTTTCAAATATGCTATCTCCAAAATTGCTACCCTCGTCTCTGAATAGATCCTTTCTAAAATGGAGAGTTTTATAATCCCCTCACCCTTCAGCAAAAAATTCCATAAAAAAAAAAAACAACAAAAAAACAAGAAAAAACAAAAAAAAACAAACATCCAGCCCTGGTTTACCCCTGAATGTGCGTCAGCTATAGTTCCCCGGTTCCCCTACGTCAATATCTATCGCAAGGAGCGGTGTAGTTCAACTTTAACTGCATTCAGAATCGCCGGCAATCGCTACAAGAAAGTTTTGGGAAATGCAAAGTGTAGCTATGCACAAGCGGTCCAGTCCCAGGTTGATAAGAAACAAATTATAAATGGCCCCAAGATCATGTCTTCCTCGACAGATAAAGCGAAGCTCTTCGTCTCGATCTTTGCCTGGAAGTCTCCGTAATATTTTCATTACAACCCGAGAAGTCTCAAGACTTATTAAAAGCCTTAAACCCTAAGAAAGCTAGTGTCCTAGACAAAATCACAGCGGTTACCCTCAAGAACATCAACTGGGAACTATCCCTGCTCCTAGCGAAGTTATTTAACCGCAGCTTGAAGGAGAAATCCTTCCCAAACCTATAGAAAGGTGTCAAGCGTATGCCCGGTTTTCAAGAAGGCGGTTAAGCCCTCATCCACTCTCAGTATAGACCTATCAGTCACCTCAGTATCATTAGAAAACTTTTTAAAGGCTATAATCAACAAGAAATAGTAAGAACAGCCTCTTGAGCGACAAGCATTAAATTCAAGCAATTCAAAGGAAATTCCTTTCGGGATGACTTTCTGTTGAAAAGTGTAATTTGCTGAGGGAGAAATAATTCAGGTTTTTAAATTATTAAAAGTAAAAATATTCAAAGAAAACCTTTCCTAAATGAAACAAATAAATACATAACAAGCAATGTTTTAGCAAACGGCTTTCATAATTCGATTGTTATGGTAACACGGGGCATGCGATTCATCGTGTTACCCTAACAACGGAATATCTTACTAAATAGTAAGACGAGGTTACATGACCCCACTTCTCTCTATCTCATATATATATATATATATATATATATATATTGTGTGTATTTAGGCAGAATCTTTTCATTTATACAAGTTTTATTAAATAATGAAGACAATTGTTGTCTATTTATTTTATGTAAACTCTTTTCATAACGTCTAATAAGTTTAATAACATTATAATTGAACGAAGAAAGAAATTCACAATATTGATCCATATTTTTTTTAATTAAAAAAATCACTACAAAAATAGCCATTTTGTTTCAACACACTCGGTGTCTTATCAAGTGATAAGACACCGAGGGTCTTGAAACAAAATGACTATTTTTGTAGTGATTTTATAACATGTTTATGTTATAATTTTTTTTATAAAAAATATTTATATCTGCTCTACTTTGTATTGAGCACTCTTTTAAGCATAGTAATTGTTGGTTATTGGAATTCATTCCGTATATACCAATTATATACTTGGTTTTATATATATATATATATATATATATATGTGTGTGTGTGAATGAATAATTAATTGGGATCAAATATGAATTAGAATCAAACAGAATGATAGGATAAGTAACAAATAGGAAACTTTCATAAATGTAACAGGTTTCACCTTTATTTAAGCTTCATCAGAAAATGAAATATGTTGGAGAAATTAAAATTCTGTTATTTAAAAAAAAACAAACACAGAAGTTTCTTTTCAGCTCCATATTTCATTTTCTGAAGAAGCTTAAATAAAAGCGAAACATTTATAAATTTCTATATGTTTCTCATCCCACAAACACACATATATTACATATGCTCTATCATTGATATTGAGCACTATAACCCATAAATATTGCATGCATATATATAAATAAAATTTCTAAATAAATTCCCGGTGAACAGTGACCGACATGACAGGAAGCTTCATTCTTTTTCATGCGATCATCAGGTCGTCTGCAACTGTTGTGGAAATGCGCATTTTAGACTTCCTTAGCAAATTCAAGATGTTGCACCATAATTAAGGCCGTCCTGGGTAAGACGATAAACTACGTCCAACAGCAAGGCCTCTGATCAGGAGGTTTTGAGGAGCGTGGAACCACCCTGACCCGGAGTGGTAGCACCTGCTAGGGTCACAGCTATGGGCAAATAATTAACACCCAAACTTGGGTCAAAATACTATGAAAGTGTAAAAATAGGATTTAATACCAGAAATACTTTGTAAAAAGAAAATTATTACCAGCAATACATTTTTGTAAAACAAATATTACCAGTAATACATTTTTTGAAAAAAAAATTATTACCAGCGAAGGAAAATTCTTAACAGAAATAGATTTTTTCAAGGAAAAAATATTAACAGAAATAGATTTTTGGAAAAAATATTACCAACGATGAAAATTTTGTCGGCATTAAATAACACATTGAGGTTGATATACCGTAAAACAAAACAAACCATAATTAAAGTAATATATTCCAGGCCAGCTATTTTATATCGTATTGGGCTTTTTCTCCACCGTGCCTTTGTAACATACACCCTTAGGAGGTGCTTAGTTTGTACTTTATTTAAATTAGATATACATATATATTAGTCATTATGTTGTATATGAGGAAGCCTTGGAAAGTTCTCAGAATGACCAAAATGTATTGTAACACAAATTCTGAGATTTTATCATTTTGTTCAGATTTTGTGACACGAGGCCAGCCGAGAATCATTTTTTTACCTCCGATCATGTGCGCGTATGAGGGGTTAAGATAGCAATACAATGTTTAAAGCTCATTGAAATCAATTAAGAAAAGAAAAAACAACAAAGTGATATAATAATGTCATTTAATTATAGCATCATTATTCCATCAGAATGGCAAAGTTGTTTAGACATGACAACTGTCAGAACGTACAATACTCACTTGAAGCATACATACATACATTCTTAGACACACACACACACACACAGGAAGACAGTTATTTCAAATGTTCATTGTAATTTTTTGTACAGTGAGATTTAGATAAACGGCTGGGTTGGTATCGGAAGAAAAAAAAAACAAAAAACAGTATTTTTGGATGTTCACATAAGCTATGGATGACCATTTGAGCTATAAATTAATAGTTTAAAGTTTAAATTGAAAAAAAAATCATTCAGAGCTAAATCTTATTTATATAATCAATTGAATGATAAATGGAATTATATATATATTAAATATTAATAAATAAATATAAAAAAAAATAATTAAATTAGAAAAATAAGTGGCCTGGTCAAATTTAAGTATAGGTTTTCCATGGCAATCATAGGGCTATACAACTGTACTTAATAGTTTTGATTATACGAATTTGGTGTTTAGGCACATCGACATCTTTATGGGTTTTGTAGAATCAAAAAATATCCTTGAGCTGTTTTTTTCTTATGGCTTCGTAAAAACGGAAGAAAAATAGCTTTTGATAATCACTTACACTTGTCGGCTGTAAATGGAAAGATGTCTTCGGTGCTTTTGTCTGGTAAACTAACCTTGCAACTTGGTAGGAACGTTCAAGCAGGAAATATCCTTTCAACATGAGTTTTTTTTTTTTTTTAAGTTTTCTGTATTCCGAAACTGGAAAAAAATATGCTGTGTTCTGCATTTCGCAGATTTACCAAAACGTGAGTATTTCAGAAAAGAGTTACTAGGCAATAATTTTCAAGAGAAAGACTTATCTTCATTTAGATTTATCCACCCGCCTGGTTAATTTGATTTTTAGTAACGCTCAAATACACCCACCCGATACGTAAAGAAATAAGAGAAATATCGCAACAAATGCGCCAAGGATTTTATCTGTTCAAATTAAACGTCATGACTCAACAGGAACATAAAAATTAAGTCCTTGACAAATCAGCCAGCGTTTTATTCAAGGACATATTCCCCTCCCCCTTTTTTTTTAGTGTATAACCCAAAGACAACTGCTCCTTTGCACAAGTGATAGTCCAGTGAGATCACAATATATTACTAATTCAATTTTGTTACGACAAAGCGTTTTGAATGTAGTAGTAACTGCATATGCACAAAACTTAAATAATATTCATTTCTACATATGGTAGGCTCACTGATAAATTTATTTTTTTTTTTGAACACTTCATATAACAGAGATCGTGAAAACCCGTTTTCTTTTTGGAATTCATTTTTATAACGCGAGAGATATTGGTTTCAAAATCTTGGTACTTGTGATGTGTATAATAGACATACAGTTGTTCTTTACCCAGTAATGTGTACCACCGTTTACAGATCACAGTTTACTTGTTTGACGAATTCCCTTATAAAACTTAACCATTTGCGAGGGCATTATAGTTCAACTGGTCATCCGTAGTGAGAACAGCCCAAAAACACAAGTGTCGGCGAATTGAGACAAGGAAGAAGAATTTGGGGGAGAATGTAAAATAAGGAGAAGGAAACGTCACTTGTTTGCTTGTGTTGATGCTGATGTGTTTGAGCTCTGCCGGGACGTCCCTATGGATGTCAGGGTAAGGGGAATACTGCGTTTTAGGGCCACCAACTGTTCTTCACCTTGGTAGATTTTATCTTCTAATTCCTGGAGCTCGACAATAAGCCGTAGTTTCATGTTGATATAGTACTGAAAATCCTTTAAGTCTTCTTCACACAGGTGTTGTCCCAGCAAGTTGGTGATGTGCTCTCGCCGTCTGTCTATGTCCGATTTGAGCTGTTTCGCTTCTTCGTGTTGACGACACAAACGATTTCTCTTTTCTACTGCAAGATTCTGTTAAAAAGAAGAAGAAAAGAATAAGGAACAAAAAATATGCGCGGTGAGGTGAAATGGTTAACGGCTCGGAATGAGAAATCGGAGAGCCGAGTTCGAATTCCATTTGGGTTCGTTACATTCACTTACGCACAAATACCATCGGGAAAGGTATAATTTAGATAAGTTATTTTACTGACACACCAAGCCCACGGGTAATTTCACGCCGAGTCTGGTAATTTTAAAATTTGTTTTTAGTATGTATCCATTTTGCAAACGCATTCTTATAAGTCGTTATTATATAAGGGTGGGGATGCAATTCGGTTTTAATTGGATTGTTGCCGGATGTTTATTCGGTTTCCTTTTTATATTTTGGGTAGGGATTTGAGTGCTACCAAGATACGATGCCTACCATCCATTTTCTACTATAGTACAATATCTACCATCCATTCTCTACTACAGTACAATATCTACCATCCATTCTCTACTATAGTACAATATCTACCATCCATTCTCTACTATAGTACAATATCTACCATCCATTTTCTACTATAGTACAATATCTACCATCCATTTTCTACTATAGTACAATATCTACCATCCATTTTCTACTATGGCATGATGTTTGCCAACTATTGGAAGCATGAAATGGGTTATAGTTAGGGTTGGGGTTAGAGAAAGTGAACAGGTTATGTATTAAAAAATCATGAACTATTTTTTACACAAAAAATTTAAAAAAATAGTGATTTTTAATGTTTCTAAACTGATTTGATATCATTTAAAAAAGCAAACTGTAAACATCGCATCATTATTCCTGAGCATCTTCCAGTAATATTGAGTGTATTGTTATTTCCGGTAGGTTGCAAATGTCTCGGTAGATATCATAGTAGCACCAAATTTTGTTACTTTTAAGAATTCTACAATGGCTCTGGGTTTGACACTCTCAAAGAGGAGCCTAAGATTGGGTACATTCTAGAAATTTTTTTATAGCTGCTGTTTTTTCCCCCCAGTTAAGTAAAAATGTTTAACAGCGAGTACTTTTTGGCAGTTTGGACATTTTAGAGGTTCTCCATTTTTTAGGAAGGAGGTTATGTGGGTGTGTCCGATTTTGATTCTTCTAAGTGTGATATCATCTTTTCTTAAGTGTCTGGTACTGTGATATTGTACAGTCAGAATGGGTTTTATTGGATATAGTTTTTTGTTTGTGTGTGCATTCTATGGTTTTTGCCATTTCAGATGTAAGAGTTAATTGTGGCTTTCAAGTCTGTAAGGGTGATTTTTGAATTTGATATATTCATTGTGAGGACTATGTATGACTATACTGATTATTTCGTTCGCTGGAGTAAACTGTTCTAGTTCCACGTGCCATGTCTAATGTCCTTAAGGATACATGGCACAGTAGATAAAGGCGTTGGTTAGATCCAGTGACAGGACTCAAAGAGTTGTGAGTTCAATACCTGGTTAAGGCAGTGGAGAACTTGGAGAGGTGAATTAACAGGAGATAACTGATATCCATTAGACATGACACGCGGAACTAGAACAGTCTACTCCAGCGAGCGAAATAAAGGGTTCAGTTCGACATTCCAATCACCTGAAGAAGGCCGGAGCATACAAGGGCCGAAACGTTGTGATAAATATGGCAACAAAGATGAGGCCAATAGTCCGAATAATGTAAATAGTGATATAATTTAGACATATCATTTTTGAATAAACATTATGCAAGAACGCGTTTCAAAATGTAGTTGATTCCTAACTTCATTGCGGACATTTTAGTGTTTGGCCACCTCAATGATAATCATGACGAGTGGTCTAAGCATTCTACTCTTACTAATGCTGCCGGTATTCAGACGTTCAATTTAACATTTTAAACGTAGTAAATGGAGCTAAGGTAAATATTAGTCATTAATTTTGAGTTAGAGCAAATATTATCTCGTAGATATATTTTATATCTAGAGTTAGAATTAGGATTTGCTGGGGCCAAACATGTCTTGTAAATTTGAATGCCTATTTTCTAAACATGTGAAACGGGAGGTAGACCTCACGTTATAGTAGCACCGACATTTGATTCTTTATACAAGTGATAGTCTAGTGAAGTCCCAATATATTACTGGCATAATTTAGACAAATCATTTTGAATAAACATTATGCAAGAATGCGTTTCAAAATGTAGTTAATTTCTATGTTTGGTTTGGCACAATGGTACTGATGAAATTAACAGTTCCCATTATAGTAAATTTTATCACACTTACACAAATGCTACGTCTTTTTTCTGAACAGATCCCTAAGTGTAATGAGAGTATCAATCGTCCCCTTATAAGGAAACATACGACATTCATTGACCAAACATTTAGCGTTGCTTTCGGTTGAAATTTATAAAATCTTTATATTAAAACAGTTTTTAGGAAATTATGTTGATGGGGGTTTCATTGAAAAATAACAAAAATTGAGTTACACAAGCGAATCGTTTGACAGATGCGAATGTATGGAGACATTAGAATAGAAGTAATGATGGCATCTTACCCTTTTCCTTTGGTCAGCCTCGGCAGGTAAGCAGCGTAGATTGTTCTCGGCTCGAGCCAGAAGCACGGACAATTTCATCAACAGCCGGATAACCATTTCCAAATCTTCTACGTACGATCGGAACTTGTTTTTTTCTTGACAACTTTCACACGACTCATCAAAAGACTTTCCAATCTGAAAGAATGAGTAATAGAGAAAAGAAAAAAAAATGATTTTGTAAAAGAAATGGGGTTGGGAAAGAATTCAGAAGCAAATAAAAGGCGCAAGAGGAAATGGAGGGAGGAGGTCAAGGAAGCTTGTGAGAATGTAGGGCAGAAGCAACAAGGAAAAGGCGTAGGAGCGGTGGTAAAGCGACGGGAAGAGGATAGCAGAAGCAATCAGTAGAAAAAAAGAGGCGCGAAAAGTAGACAGATGAGACGAGTGAGAAAAGATGGAAGCAGATTAGCGGGAAGAGAGTGAGAAAGAGGTCGGAAGGTTAGAAGCTGAGAGAGAGAGGAAATAAGATTAGGGAGAGAGAGAGAGGAAATAAGATTAGGGAGAGAGAGAGAGAGGAAATAAGATTAGGGAGAGAGAGAGAGAGAGCGGAAGTCAAAAGATTAGGGAGAGAGAGAGAGAGAGAGAAGAGAAAAAGATTAGGGAGAGAGAGAGAGAGAGGGAGAGAGAAGTCAAAAGATTAGGGAGAGAGAGAGAGAAGAAAGATTAGGGAGAGAGAGAGAGGAAGTCAAAAGATTAGGGAGAGAGAGAGAGAGCGGAAGTCAAAAGATTAGGGAGAGAGAGAGAGAGAAAAGATTAGGGAGAGAGAAAGAGATTAGGGAGAGAGAGAGAGAGAGAGAGAGGAAGTCAAAAGATTAGAAGAGAGAGAGCGGAAGTCAAAAGATTAGGGAGAGAGAGAGAGAGAGCGGAAGTCAAAAGATTAGGGAGAGAGAGAGAGAGAGCGGAAGTCAAAAGATTAGGGAGAGAGAGAGAGAGAAGTCAAAAGATTAAAGAGAGAGCGGAAGTAAAAGGGGAGAGAGAGAGAGAGGAAGTCAAAAGATTAGGGAGAGAGAGAGCGGAAGTCAAAAGATTAGGGAGGGAGGGAGAGCGGAAGTCAAAAGATTAGGGAGGGAGGGAGAGCGGAAGTCAAAAGATTAGGGAAGGAGGAGAGCGGAAGTCAAAAGATTAGGGAGAGGAGAGCGGAAGTCAAAAGATTAGGGAGGAGAGGAGAGCGGAAGTCAAAAGATTAGGGAGAGAGAGAGAGAGCGGAAGTCAAAAGATAAAGAACTGAGAGAGAAATGAAGTAAATGATTGAGAGTGAGAGAGATTGAGTAGAAGTAAAATGATTAGGGGAAAGAGAGTGAGTGGAAGTAAAAAAGGTTAGGAGAGAGAGAGAAAGTAAAAATGTTAGGAACAGAGAGAGAGAGAGGATGTGAATAAATAAAGAACAGCAGATATTTTGTAACTGGGGATCCTGGTTGAGAAAAGAAAAAAAAAATAATTGGTGAATTAAATTCTCCGAAGACTTGTTCTTATAACAAATATAAACATTAAGCGATACAAAGAATTTCTCCAAATTTCATAAAATTAAATAATTTTCACCAAGAAACATTTAAAAACATTATTATATTAATAAGAGAGATTTATTATAGATGCATTATTTCCGAATAAGTCTTTCTTTAAAATCCGATAATTATCTGATTTTTGCAAAAATTTCCAATTTAATGTTTTTCATTGAAAAAAAAAAAAAAAAATGCTAAAATTCCCCATACAAATCTATAACTCCGTGTTGAGGTAAGAAAAACAACATTTTTAACCAAAATTTCCAAGATTCTAAAAAGGAGAAAACAATTAGATAAGATCCTTTGCTTTCTCTTATTAATATAATAAAAAATTTGATGATTAAATTGTTTTTATTGTGTTTTGAATATTTTAAAATCCTGTATGCTCTTTTTTTAGCGAATTTTTGGAGGTACCGAGATTAATATTTGCACAGATTCGTTATGAGTTTTTTTAGAAACTCCCTCTTGTACTTTAGATAAAAATGGACAATGAATAAATAAAACACGTTCAGTGCCAATGTGTTTTTCTTTTCGCCGACACGTGTTTGCCAAGAATAGAAGTATGAGTATTTCCCAAAATCTAAATAGTATCGATTTTAAAAGAGGTATTAGTCACAGCTGTGTGCGGAGGCCAAAATGATGATAAAGCGAGAAGTTCAAGAAGAGGAAAGTTAATTAATGTTATTCGGTGCTGATCAAGTTATTGCAAGAGAAATAATAAAATAAAATAATAACCTTTTCTCCCAAAGTGTTAATATCATCCATTTCTTGTTCTACTTTCTTTTTGCCTTCATGTAAGGCATCCAGTTTCTTTACAATACTGACCCTCAGTTCTTCCTGAAAGAAAAAAAAAGTCATAAGTGAAGCAATGTAAATGATGCAATTTAACCTTTTGAAGAAAATACTGTCCCTATATATTTTAGAGTCGGTTTTTAAGTCCGTCTAAAGCAAATTTAGTTGGTGTGGCATTCACTAACCTGACTTTACTTTAAAGTGACAATGGTTTCATTTTATTTTATATGTAGACTGACTAAAATGAGAATGTCATTAAATATAAATACCAAGAGAAACAGCCACATTAATTGTTTAAACTTTTCGCATGTGGCCTGTTATAGTGATTTTCTAAGCGCAGCTTAGATGTGGCACAAGGCCGAAAGTATGGGGCACCCAGTGAGGATTGAACTCAATACTCAGTCATAAATGTTATAGCGAGACAAGCTTGCTAACCATTACACCGCCTCGAGGTGCCGTCATGTGGCCTGTTATATGAGCTGAATTAGGCTTCTCTACCTTCTCTGTACTTTGTATGTTAATTGAAACAAAATTTAAAATTTACAGGAAAACACAAAAACATACGCTTAAAATACAGTACCTTAAAATAACACCCACCTTATTGCGTTGTAAGGATACAGAAAGCGCTTATCTCCCATTGGTGGAGATGGTCATATGACGGCCACTCAATGACGTCACTCCATAATCCTACGAAAGCGCCGGTCATTTTTTCCGTTCGTTTACAGCAGCCACCAAATGAGGTTGCTCTTCTTTGAGCCTGGGCCAAAAGGCCCAGACTGAGTCTAAATCTTCCTCCCCAGCAACTTACAAGTCCATGGTGCAGTTTCCCTTTGGGAATATATTTGTCCCAGATATAGAATAAACCGCCAGCTTGCAGTTCTCAATTTGGGAAAACCCAAGACACTATGTTTCCCGTTCGTGGAATATGTCCTCACCTAGTACATAGGCGTATTCAGCCCATTTGAATCTGGAGTACTAAAAATGGCTTTTCCAGACACAGGAGTATCTCCATATTATATGCAAGACCCTTCCTTTTTTGGTCCTTACACTTTGAACAGGAAGTTGAAAAAAAAACTATCTATATATAAAATTCTGTGATTTCCGTTTAACCGTCCGTCACATCCTATAAAAAAAGCTATATATTGACTGATCGAAACCAAATTTTGTGGAGAAGTGCAAAACAGTACGGGGATACGAAGTAGTGTTTTTGTTATATTTTTCCAAACATATCAGCTTATTCAAATTTCATCGATTGGTTTGCGAAATTGAAAGAAACGTAGAGTTTGTAAATCTCGACAAAAATGTTAGCAATAATTTCAAAAATGCTAAATACTGTGAGGATTTCAATACGCGTTCGAAAATAAAGAATGAGTGACAAGCAGACGACAGTTACCTTCTTCTGAATTAGATTGTCTTCGTTCTGCAGATGGTCCGTTTCTCGGTCGATGGAAATTGGATATTCTTCTCCAATCAGAGAAGGATAACTAAAAGAGAAAACAAAGAATTCAATTTATTTCGCTGTGATTATACATTGTCATTCAATATTAAGATTTTTATGACTTGGGTCGTTATCTCTGTGTTTGTTTGTTTTTTTTATCTCAACGTTCCGGCTAATGAAGGTTCTCATGTGACCACCAAAGTTAAGCAACGACGAGTTTGGTCAATACCATGATGGTTGACCGCTTGGGAATACCAGATGCGGTAAGTTTGGATGTGCGGGCTGTTTGGATAACGGCTCGGAATTGGAAAACTTAGAGCCGAGTTCCAATTCCTATCAGGTTTGTTATATTCACTTAAGCGCAAATACCCCTTGAGAAAGCTATGGGTTAATTAATAGGACTTGTATCAATAAATCTTTATTAACTCTCCCCCAATGTAACTTGCAAAGGGTTGATAAGCCTTAAAAAACAAATCAGTCAATCGGCTAGTGAAAATTATATATATATATCATCCCCATACAGGCCTGTTTCGCTGTATCAGAGCTCATCAGTGCGGTAGACATCCGATTGCTTCAAGCCGGGATCGAAACCCGACCGATTTGGCATCAGTTGCAGCTTCTACTCCCGAGCTATCAGCACACGGCAGAGGGAAAGAGAAATTCTAGCGTATTATTTTTAAAAATGTAAACAAACGCCAGACAACCAGAGTGCTCAATTCATTTAATGAAGAGCCTTGCGTTAGCGAAGACGTCTGCTGTTTAGAATTACCCTCTCTCTCAACAGTGCTCAACCGAAATTATCGAGAGTATATATATATATATATATATATATATATATATATATATATATATATATATATATATATATATATTCTCAATTGTATGGATATTTGTTTGTAACTCAGGGTTTCACGCTTTTGGTTTTTTTGGTTTTTTTTTTAAATGTGGATTTATCTATGCGTATTTGTGTTTATCTGTGGAAGGGGTGGACGAAACAGGACCCATAAACTGAATATGTTAGCTCTATCACAGATATTGAGCACTTCCCACTAAGTATCGCGCATATTGTTATATATAACAAAGCAAATATAATTAAAATATTAAAAAAATACTTATATTTATATTCTACCGATAAACAGCATGTACATCGGCTAAAATTCGTATGATATCTACATAGTAAAACATGGTGCTCCTTCGAATTTTTTTTATCTACAAGGAGAAAATAACAAGCCAAAAAGCATGAGCAAAATGAACAAAAAAAAAAAAAAAACAAACCTCAGAAAGACTTCAGAATCCGGTAAAATCTTTCAACATTTAATAATCAGTTGTGTTTAGTTTAATTTGTAAAATATAGATAAAATCAAATGTTGATATGACAGTAAGCGTCACAAAGCACTGCTTGGAGTTTCCTGTCAGGCTTGCCTCCCTTCCCGGTCGCGAGATTCTGAGGTAGTATACGCCGGACCTTTTTACATGCATGCCTTCATTTGTCTCTTTTGTTTTCCTTTGAGTTAATAAAGTATGGCAATAAAGTATGTTGTTAATTGTACATAATTGCATACATATCCATTGTTAGTCTCTTGCTTGAGAAAGCTCCAACGCGTTCACTATATTATCATAATCAACCACAAACTTGTCCAGTACTATCAACTAATACGCAGTACTAACACGAACATAGCCCTTCAACAGATAGTAGTCCCGCTAGTCCCATGATGTTAATTACTAACTACAAGGTACCCCCCCACAAAAGTCCTTGTTGTTTTTGAGTTATTAGAAAAAAACTTATAAGCTGATTTGACGTACCGTTAGCTCTCAAAGTAATCCCTATCGGCATCCAAAATCTTTTGTTAACGTACCTCCAGTTGTGCAATGCTCAGGCGGTAAAAATCTTGTACACAAAGAAATCTGAGTGCCTGCCGCAAGTCTGTCTCAATTGCGAAGTATTTTCCACCAAGATGGTTGTTCAGGGAATGGAAGAGGTGGTAATCTGTTGGCCCAAGTTCCGGGAAGTAAGGAAGATGACACATTGTCTCCCAGCCAGGTCACCTTCTAGGACTTGGGGCTGGCCACTTCGGGGTTTACCACAATGAGACAGATCTCTCGACCCGAATTTCTGGAACCAATGGCTAACGGTGTGTTCACTCACGGCACTGTCCTCAAAGGCTTAATGTATTCGGTGACTTGATACTGCTGTGGACAAACCCACCTTAAAGTTCATCAATGCCGAATGTTTCCTTATAAAGAAACGGCTAATAATAACATTACTACAAGGAAACCAAAGAAGGCCTTGCCGTTTTTGATCTGTTATAAATAAAAAGGTATACAGATAATTTGACGTACCACTAGTCCCCAAATTAATCTCCATCAGCATCCAGAATCTTTTGTCAACGTGCCTCCAGACGTGCAATGCCCCAGCGGTAAAAAAAAACAAGTGTACGCAAAGAAGTCCGAGTGCCAGTCTCATTTTTTGAAGGATTTCCCACCAAGATGGTTGTTTAGTGAATGGAAGAGGTGGTAGTCTTTTGGCCCAAGGTCCGGAGAGTAAAGAGGATTGCACAGTCTCTTCTAGGAAAGTCGCCGTATCATACCCCTGGCCACCTGCGACACATGAAGCCAGATATTGTCATGGAGGAACAGAACACCCTTGCGATTAACCAATGCTGGCACCTTCTGCTTCAAAGCCTGTTACACAGGTTTCAATTGCTGCGAGTAAGGTCCGCAGTGAGGGTTTGGCTCGTTGGTAGCAGCTCTTAGTGCCCCACTTGTCGACTAGTTCACCAGAGGATAATCTTGCGTGAGATTAGTCTTGTGGTGACAAGTAATATCTGGCATGCTTGGGAGTGTCATACAGGACATAATTTTCATTACTGGTGAGCACTTGATCAAATATGGGTACGTTGCAGTAAAAGCAACAAGAACATAGGCTCTCACTCATTGTTGCTTGTTGGTTTCCGACAGCGTGTGGGGTACCGGCTTGCTCAAATTGTATGCCTTCCCTATGAAGTTCAGGTGAAGTCTTACAGTTTCATCAGAAACTTGAAAGCTTTCGGGAAACTCACCACAAGTTTGGCTGTTGTCCTCCTCTATGGCCGCTTTCAGGACCTCACCCTCCAGCGCTTGTGACCGGCCACTGCGGGGTTCATCACAAAGGGACAGATCCCCGGACCTGAACTTCTGGAACTAATGCCTGGCGGTGTGTTCACTCACAGCATTATCTCAAAGGCTTGACGTACTCGGTGACTTGATGCGGTTGCGGACTGAAAGTCATAAAGCAGATAATCACGAACTAGCTGCTTTGACACCGCCATGTTTCCTCGCCGCTGCTCGAACTGTGACCGATTTATGTGCAAAAACGTGCTCCTATCCCAACCGCTTTCCCGGCACGGGACGCATTTATTTGCGTATCAGTGTTACACAACGTAAAAAAAAAAGCAAGGACTTTTTTGGTTACCTGCAATAGGAGTTTAAACTTTATTTTTCGATGACCGGAAAAAAATGTCATATGAAAACTTACAAAAGGGGCCATGGCGGATTTCTACCTTGGGTAAAAAAATGTATATTTCTATGCAATTAAATAATCTTTTAGCCATAAGATGCTTTAAAATAAGATTTTCCTATAGGGGACTTTTCCTTCTCTAGTAAATCAAAAAATGTCGTAAACATGGTTTCACAGTTACATCCAATCAATTAACCAAACCAACAAGGAATTCTTCAAAAAAGAAAAAAAATGACTTTTTCATATATTACACGTACATACAAAAAAGGTTGAAACACCGGTTCCTGTATGATCACCGAAGTTAAACAATGTTGAGCTTGGTCAGTACCTAGATGGGTGACCACTTGGGAATACCAGGTGTTATAAGCTTCGATGGGTAGGTGGTGTGCTGGATAATGGCTCGAAATTGTTAATCGGAGAGCTGAGTTCCAATTTCCGTTACGTTCGTTATAATCTAAAAATATTTTCTGGCTTTAAATAATCTGTAAAAATTTGATAAATTGTAGAAAACAAATCAATCAATGGATAGTTAAAAAGGAAACACGTTCGTTTCCTGTCGAGAGACAGATTTTTTTTAAAAGACTTTCGGTCTCATTGCCGGCAGATATTATATATGTAACAAATGAAATCGGACTTCAAACTTTGGTCAGATTAAAAAAAATAATGAATTTGGTGTCCAAAAATGTACTTGGGTTCAATTTTTTTTTTATTATAATACACTTGACTATAACAAGATTTACCTAAATAAGTTCATTTCAGCTAGAACAGGTTCTTTCGTTTGGTTTGTTTTACGGCATATCAACACGTCAATGAGTCATTTAATGCCGACAACTATTTTTTTCCTGGTAATATTTTTGTTTTGTCAAAAATCTATTTCAGTTAATATTTTTTCCTCACAAATGTATAGCTGGTAATATTATTTTTCCAAAAACGTATAGCTGGTAATATTACTTTTTTTTAAAAAAATGTATTACTGGTAATATTTTATAATGCTTTTTGCCTCAGTTTCGGGGTTAACTATTTGCCCATAGCTGGGACCCTAACAGGTGCTACCACCCCGGGTCAGGGTGGACCTGTGAACACCAGCAATTAAGAGGTGGTTTCACGGTCATCAAAACTTCCCGATCAGAAGTCCTGCTGTTGGACGTAGTTTATCGTCTTACCCAGGACGCGGATGCAGTTTATCGTCATGCCCAGGACGAGAGCAGGTTCTATCCTAAAAGAAAAACAAAAAAAACATTTTGTATGAAAATCAATTCATTCTACGTTAGACGAAATTCAGATCTTTTTCATCTAGGTACCACTACGGACTTTCTAACAAAACCCGAAAGACGCTTGTTAAATAATTTAAATGCCTTCTTTAACAGTAAATTTCGGTTTTATTTGAGAAATATTAACCTAAAGCTAATCAGTATTAAAAGAAAATCCATAAAGAACTGTTAGGTAACCCTGAAATATTTGAGAAGGATATTAGAATAATCCAGAACTTATACTGGCAGCAAACCATCTGCGAACAGATAAAAAATGAATTCAATAAATATATATATATATATATATATATATATATATATAAAGGAAAGGGTGTGAGACAAAGATGTGTCTTCTCCCCGAACTTATTCAAACAATACATCGAGGCGATTCTTAGAGAATTAGAAGGATTAATTATTGGCGGTCACAATCTTAACATAAGATATGCAGATGACAGTGTTGACAGACATAGGAAAAGAAAGAAAAACTTCTACAGAAGATAGTGAAAGAAAGTTAGAAGAAAGGACTAAACATCAAGAAGATAGAATGCATAGTTGTTAGCAAAAGGCACATCCCAACATGTAAATTACAAATTGGAGATACCAAACTCAAACAGGTACAACAATTTAAATATCTGGGAAGTGTTTTAACATAGAACGGAAAGTGTGGCACTGAAATCCGAAGTCGCATTGGGATAGCGAGAGATGCCTTCCAAAAGGCAAGCAAAAGTATTAAGAAATAGGAAAGGTTTCATAAGATACAAGAAAAGTTCATTAGAAACAAAGAAAAGAGTACTGAACTGTTGCGTAATATCAGTCTTCCTATATGGCAGAGAATGCTAGACAATCTCCTCAAAGGTGAAGAAGAGATTTGAAGCAACAAAATTGTGGTTCCATAGAGCGATGCTGATAATACCATGGGTAGAACATGTGAGCAACGACCAAATTTTTGAAAAAATGGAAACGAAAAAGGACTTATACTTAACATCAGGAAGAGAAAGTTGAAATTTTTAGGGCATATCATGAGGAAAGAGGGCTTGGAAAATTTGACACTCAAAGACAGACTGAAGGTAAGGGGTGTGTGTAAAATAACGAATAATCTACCTAGCGAGCTTGAAAAAAAATGAAGATCGTAACAGGATTTAGGAGAAATATCAAAAGGACAAAATGTATTAAGAGCTACAAAGGACAAGAAATTGTGGAGAGCAATAAGGAAAAGAGGAAAAAGGAAAAGTGAGGAGAAAAGAAAGGAAAAGTGAGGAGAAAAGAAAGGAAAAGTGAGGAGAAAAGAAAGGAAAAGTGAGGAGGAAAGAGAGGGAAAGTGAGGAGGAAAGAGAGGGAAAAGAGAGGAAAAAAAGGTAAAGAAAAAAAAAACGGATCACCAGTAGTGCAACAAAAAAAATTGTTATTTATGTTTAAAAATAAATTATCTTTAACCTCATATAACAAATTAATATAATTTTTTAATTCTATACAATTTTTTTTATACATTAGAAGTATTTTTTGTAGTTAAATGATACTTTTGAGTTTAATACATTGCTTTTATTTTTTGCTATTTCCTCATTTGTCTGTCGTCATAAAATATTTAATTGTAACTAATGTTGTATTTTATTCAAATTATTTTGAATTTAAAATTGTAGTATCATATATGAGTATTCAACCAAAAGCGTTAATTCAGAAATATTTCCTTTTTGAACATCAACACAAAAAAATAATATAACGTTTGCAAAAATGAAAAAAAATCCTTTAAAAAAGTTTTTCACACATGAAACGTCCTTCCCAGACTTTATTAAAATTTCTTATCTTTTTTATCATTTCACCCCAAGCAAGGTGATAATGCCACGAAGACAAGGGATTACTAAGAGTGAAATAGAATGAGAAGACATTAAAAGGAACCGGAAACTAATACTAAACAGGAAACACCCCTGCTCAATAGACGAAGGAGGAGCGTAAACCGGGCGATAGACGAGCCTATCTACTCAATTTTGTACTTGATAGTAATATTCAGACGAAAATTAAAAATTTGACAATAGTTAACAAGGTACTGGTCTACTAGTGTGGGCTGGGCTAAGATGGGCATGACGTCACGGACACTTGTCTATACATTGACCTGAGTGTAATCATTCGAAATATTTCGTTGCTTCTTTATCAAATGCGCACTCAGTGAACTGTATGTGGAAAATGCAGAAACAGAAATTCGAGAGCACATTGGGAATACATTCAATGGTGAATTTAGGTGGCGTCAACAATAGAGAGAAACACAATGACGCCCTTGAATAGTAAATTTAGGTCCCCCCCTGAGGTTTAACATTTAAAGGGATAATTTTCTACTGTTACAGAGAGAGAAAAATAAACTTAGATTTGATTGTTTAAGAAAATAAATTTGTTGTTTGAATCACCGAATTGTTCTTTCGTCGCGACAGCGAACGCCAGTTTGGGGGAGGGGATTCGAATGTTTCTGTTACGGTACAATACATTCCGGCACGGACTACAATCTATGATTTGTACATAGTGAATAATATTAAAATATAGAGAGAGGAGACGGAAGAGAGAGATAGAGAGAGAGGAGACGGAAGAGAGAGATAGAGAGAGAGGAGACGGAAGAGAGAGATAGAGAGAGAGGAGACGGAAGAGAGAGAGAGAGGAGACGGAAGATAGAGAGAGAGGAGACGGAAGAGAGAGAGAGAGAGAGGAGACGGAAGAGAGAGAGGAGACGGAAGAGAGAGATAGAGAGAGAGAGAGAGAGAGAGAGAGATGAAGAGAGAGAGACGGAAGAGAGAGAGACGGAAGAGAGGAGACGGAAGAGAGAGGAGACGGAAGAGAGAGACGGAAGAGAGAGAGACGGAAGAGAGAGGGAGACGGAAGAGAGAGGAGACGGAAGAGAGAGGAGACGGAAGAGAGAGGAGACGGAAGAGAGAGGAGACGGAAGAGAGAGAGACGGAAGAGAGAGACGGAAGAGAGGAGACGGAAGAGAGAGGAGAGAGAGAGGGAGACGGAAGAGAGAGAGAGAGAGAGAGGGAGACCAGAAGAGAGAGAGATAGAGAGAGAGGAGACCAGAAGAGAGAGAGATAGAGAGAGAGGAGACCAGAAGAGAGAGAGATAGAGAGAGAGGAGACCAGAAGAGAGAGATGAGAGAGAGATAGACCAGAGAGAGAGAGATAGAGAGAGAGAGAGAGAGAGAGAGAGAGAGGGAGGATAGAGAGAGAGAGAGGAGACGGATAGAGAGAGAGAGAGAGAGGAGACGGATAGAGAGAGAGAGAGAGGAGACGGATAGAGAGAGAGAGAGAGGAGACGGATAGAGAGAGAGAGAGAGGAGACGGATAGAGAGAGAGAGGAGACGGATAGAGAGAGAGAGGAGACGGATAGAGAGAGAGAGGAGACAGAAGTGATAGAGAGAAGGGAAGACAGAAGACAGGCCATTCAAAGTATTTCAAACGCGACTTTGCGCTGTCGTACTGTTAGTTATTGGCTATGAATGGCGCTATGTCTGTGGGGAGCGGGTTAAATATTTCATTGATATCAGGTCGTGTGTTTTAAAATAAATAAATAAATAAAAAGAATTGTCGGTCTGGCCCACTTCCCAAAATATAACCAAACATCAGAATTTTGTCGGGGGGTTTGAAACGGACATGTGTTATGACTTGTGAGAAATTGAATCTTTCAAAATAAATGTATTCAACACGTGCGCATAAAATTTATTACTAGTGTAGTAGTAGCAATGTTTTAAAATGCATTTGACTAACATTTAATGCCATCTTGCATTTTTACCATTTCTGGTTAGCTCCCTCATATTGTGCACGCTTGTTTACAAAAAGACCAAAAAGACAAAAATACAAAACAAAAAAAAACAAGTAAAAAACAAACAAACAAAAAAACATCATAGCTACAACGGATAAATTTACAAATTTAGAATAATTATAACAGCACATTCACAAAAATTCCTTCTCAATTCACCCCTGAGGATGATCGTGAAGGAGTTCGAAAGTACTTGGGTTAACAAAAAATACGGCGATTTCCTTGATGAATTTCAACTTAACATCAAGAAGCTAATTAGAGAACTAGAAAAGATTATTATAAAAATAAAGAGACATAACATGTCAATATTATTCAATGGAACATACTTGAATGAAGATATGCTGCCTAAATATACATTATATATACATATATTAAAAGAATTTTTATCAGACATTATTTATTATTGCTATAAACGATATTTTGAAATGTGGTTGAGTTGCTATCCTTGATTTTTTTTGTTAAAACATGGGAATTAACATCAACTGGTTTAAAATGAAAAGTCGTACTAACGAAAAATTGTGCTTCTAAAAGGATGCAGTTTCGATTCCCGTCAAAGGTACAATTTTTCTTTAGCAGGATTTCTAAATTTGAACAGGTTGTTGTTTAATAAAACAAAGACAGGATTAGCAACTCGAACAAGTGTACCCACGAAAATAACGTTTAAAAATAGCTATATATATATATATATATATATATATATATATATATATATATATATATATATATCGGGTGAGTCAAAATTGTTAACATTAGTATGAGAGGAATCATTTATTCAGAGTTTACTGAACTGTCTTCACCTGTCCACCAGCACGACTGATGCACTAAAACCAGCGATCAACAGTACAATTTAGTGCCTTGATACACATTTCACGGGGAATGTTTGATATTACACCTTTTCTTCTGTCCTTTTAGTTCTTCGAGGTCTCTAACATTTTTGCTATACACGCGATCCTTTATCCATACTCCATAAGTATGATAAATGATCCTGTGTATAGCAATAATGTTAGAGACATCGAAGAACTCAATGAGAGAATCAAAGGTGTAATATCAAACATTCCCCGTAAAATCCGTATCAAGGTACTAAATTGTATTGTTGATCGCTGGTTTTTGTGCATCAATCGTGCTGGTGGACAGGTGGAGACTGTTCAGTAAACTCTGAATAAATGATTCCTCTCATAACATAACATAATTTTGACTCACCCTGTATAAATAATTCAAGAAGAGAGAAAAACATACTTGTGTCTATACAGACAGGCAAAGCTCATCAAAAAGAAAAAAAAATAATTAATTTGATTAACAGTAGTATGTGTTCGAGTGTGCGTCACGTGGTTTGGTCAAATTAAGTAGTTAGTTTGTCAACTGCCGTTTCCTTGGATGGGGAGACTGGACAAACGTCTTGTGTCTACTGTATCTTATTGTTGAGTGAGAGAGAGTAGACAGTTATTTACATACTGCTGATTGTGGTGAAAGTGTCGGTAGGTCGTAAGTCACATTCTAAACTAAGGAACAAGGAGAAGTAGGATAATGTGCCAAAAATGAAGCATTGCTGTCGTATCTGGGCTGGTGTCGCCCAGTCCTCACTGTCAAGCAGAGTTCAAAAGAGATTACTTGGTCTTGTGGTTGATGAATTTTTTGTTTTTTTTAATTTTTTTTTTAACTTCGCAACCCCTTTCCCCATGGACGAAAACATTGCTAGCCTCTTGCTATTTTTATGATAATTTTCAGACGAGCTACATTCCTTAGTTCCACCAGTTCAGACCTACACGACTTGGACCCCAATGCCCTAAACATGGCGTCAAATTCTCATTCCCTTCGTATTCCTCTGATAAGGAGAAAGTTCCATGCAGCCAGCTTATTCCCAAGAACTGTCACTTTACCGAGCAGACTCCCAAGGGGATGCTTCTCCGATCAATGCAATATTAATCTCTTCAAGGTCAATCGTTATCTATCCTACATATCCTCATAATATGCACATTTTCCTTCTCTTTTTACGCCATTACAATAACCTAATTCAGTAACTACCTGGATTGGTCTCGTATTGGGTGAACTATAGTATTAAAAAAATAGAGTTTTTTTTTTTTTATTTCTCTTCAATGCATAAAGTAAACAGATTGAATAAGTATGTAAGCAAAAATCAGACTTTTCAAGAATTTCTAATTTACATAATAAAATGAAATTTCATTGAAGACGAGTGTCTCATTCATTACTGAACCGTTTTCTTAGTTCAGCTGTTCAATCGCCCGAATTTCAACATCCACTAACAATACGACACAATAAACCAAACAAAAAATGTAGGGTACACGCCCAATATGGAATTCTCAATTGTCATTTCTTTCCTATCAAGACAATGTCAAAATTTTCAAAATAGAAATATTTATGATCTGGGTGGAGTAATTTTAAATACAATGTGGTATATCTTTTTTTGCGAAGTTAAACAGTCTGTTCAGTTGTGTTTATGCTATACTGTCAAAAATTTCAGTAACCTTACAATCTAGGAAAACCAAAGCCAAATTCTTCCTAAAATAGAAAAAAGAAGCACTAGTTTATAACTCGATCATTTTGAAAATCAGTTTGTGAGCAATAGCTTCGTTGGGTTGAAATCTGCACAACGGTAAGAGCTAGAAGCAATATTTAGGTTCAGGCACAAGAAAAATATTTACATGAGGGAAGGAAATAACAATGAAAGTTCACCTAAGGTTGGTATAAAAAAAAACTGAGCCAGGCATTTTTTACAATGGTGTTCACCATGTACAATGCTCGAGGGCCACTTGAGGTAGAGTAATACAAAGTAAGAGACACAGCTTATGCAAATGTGTACGCAAGATAATGATTAACTCTAGACTTGAACAGCTTTGTGGTAATCGGAGAAGCAACCTCTTGAGAGATGGTTCCACAAGGCAATGGTTCGTGGGAAGAAGCTGCTCCAGTGGAACTTACATCTAACCAGGGGAATACGAAGGCGATGTGAGATTGCAGAGCTGGTCTAACTTTGTACCAACTCCATGTATTTGTCAAGTTATGATCCTTTGAAGTCAATCAAAATTCGCACGTTTTTAATCATTTACACACTTGTGCAAATTACTTGAAACAAAAAGAATAATTCCGTAATTTACTTTTTTCGTATATTTCCAATTAAACAAGAACCAGTGCACATGTTAGTACTTCGTATGTCCATTCCGCAAAGTCGTTCCTTGTAGATTGACCACATATTCTCGATAAAATTAAAATCAAGAGAGTTTCCGAGCCAGTCAAAAGTACTTTGATTTACTCACTGGTAAGGCTTGCCAGTGTATTCGTGCAGAGTTACAATTTTCGTACGCTTCCTTTCGTAGACAATGGCCATAGGACAACTAATCGACAGTTGAGACAATAGTGTCTGGGCGTGATGAAAATCAGATGCAATCACTGATGACGCAGTATTTTTGAAAGTCAAACAAATTTCATCATAGACTCCGAAAATAGATTCATATTATTGCACATCACTGCAAATGACCTAATCTGAGGAAAAATAGAAATCAATTACCCCCTGTCAATCCAGTGGGTCTAAAACTGACCGTATGGTGAAAGAAAGGATACTAAAGCGGTTATTTCAATTAATTTGCACAAGGGTGTACCTTTAGATGGTAAATTCTGGATAGTTGATGTTTCTGCCTCTTTTTACTTTTTTAAGTCAGTGGAATCATGTTCAAGTGAATGCTATAAGTTTAACTTGACACTTTTACTAAGATGACATATCAAGTGAATAGCAAAATATGTCTTACTGTTTTATTTTGACTGAATTTTCTGTTGGCCATATAACAGAAATTGACCATATAACAGAAATTTCAGTCAATTGTGAATATGTCAATATTCAGCTGTTTTTCGTCTCCAATACCTAACTTCAAATAACGTTAACAAGAAATACCAGAAGAATTTTTCTCTCTCATTTTTAGTGTAAGTTTCGAAATCTGAAAACAATTTAAATCTGAAAAAAAATAGAAGGAAACTTTTTACGGGGAAAAATACTTAATTCTTTTCATACTTTAAATCAATAATTATCCAATTTTGGAACAATATGCCGGGAACCAGATATCAGTTTTCGACATAACATTACTTGTATTTATAAAAAAAAAATCAGGATCTAAACATCCATTTCTTTGTCATTTTTGTTGAATCCATTTTTGCCATCCCCCAAGAGACATCTCAAAGGGTTACATGCCAAATTTAAGCTCTTATCGAGAAAATTTCTCCACTTCAGACCAGATGTTCTAAATCTAACCCCCGACTTTTTAATTAAACAGGTGAAAGTTTTGTATTAAACTTCCTCTTAAGTAAAAATAACATTCCTTAGCATTGTATAAAATTAATAGAATGTCCACCAGCCTCTCCAGATCTTAATCCAATAGAAAACATGTGGTCCATCATTAAAAGACATGCCTATGAGAAAAAAAAAAAAAACAGTATTCAAGCATAGCTTTCTCTGGAAAGCAAAGAAATCTGTTGCAAGTAATGCGCAGATTGGAAATGTAGAAAAGTTAAAAATCACTGGTTGAAAATAATGAATGTTATTGACTGTTGAGGAGACGAGACCATATTAATACGCAAAAGTTTGGGACCATGACGTATTTCTTAAGAAAAAAAGAAAC